CCTGAGTGTTGGTCATGCTCATTTTTCATCCCTAAGTTATCATTGACATTGTACTTTTCGTTGCCCTTTGTGCTCACTTTTCGTCCCTGAGTTATACTAAAATTGCAAATTCCATCCCTAATGTTTTATTAGTAGAGGGACGAAAAGTGCAACAGTAATGATAACTTAGGGACGAAAAGTGAGTATTACCAACACTTAGTGACGAATTCTACAATTACCTTATAACTTAGGGACGAAAAGTGTAATTTTCCCTTTAAAATAAATAAAATGTTCCTTATAATAGATATTGTAACTCTTATATGTGAAATTGTAATATTATTTAGGGTAAAATTAATTGTTACTAGTTATAAATATTTTAATACCTATAATTCAAAATGTGATACTTACAGACTTAGTTGCCTACAACCTTATTTGTCTCACGGACAGGATCTTACACAAATTTTCATCAATCATATATTAAATACAGGTACATAATTTATTATTGTAGATAATAGATTAAGTGTAGATGCATAATAAGCTAATTGTAGTAGGTACATAATTTATTAACTGAAAGCATATAATATGATAAATGCAGGCACATGTTATTTTGAACTAGGGTCAACAAAGTAAGATAAAATTTTAATCCATGTATAACAACTCTGACCTAAAATAATATGATGAAAATTAAATTATGATGCATGCAGAAAACTCAATCACCTGAGGAAGCAGCCATCAAAATTGATGCGACCACCGGTTTTGTTGGAGCAGTTTCGGGTTGCAACCACGGCGGCGTCGAGGCAGGCGACACAGTCCGCCGTGGAGAGGTAGTTTCGGCACTGCGCCATTGCGTACACAGGCTGCTGAGTGGAGGTGGCAAAGCGTTTGTTGCCGCTGGATAACTGGTTTCTCAGATCAGCAAAGGTGGCGTTCAGTACCCTCATAGAATCTGCTACGTCGGTGTAATTGAACGGACTGCAACCCAACACGCCTACTTGGTTGGTTTGTGGGTTTGAGAGCGCAGGTTCTGATACTGATACCACCGTGATCACCACCGCGAACCACCACCACCTGCCTGATCCTGCCGCCATATTTGATCAGTGTAGGCTCAGCTCATGGAGGAGAGGAGAAATACACAAAATTGGCTTATAAAGAAAGAGAAAGAGAGGTTAAATATATAGGAATACAATTAGAGGATGTATTATGATCAACACTGATATTCCATGCTTAATTAGCTGAGTCGTTGCTAGTCAAGTGTCAACAATCTCCATTATTATATTTATTATTTATTATTTATTATTGTATATTTTTATTATAATCCATAGGAGTTAGGAGTTGGGACCAAGATAAATCAAGGTAAGTAATGAAAAAACAAACGATATTTCTCATTAAATAAAATAAAATTTTTTTGAATGTTACTGTCTCTATTACATTGTAGTATCTGTTCATATACTTTCTCACCCTACTGAAACACTGTCTCTATTACATTGTAGTATCTGTTCATATACTTTCTCACCCTACTGAAACACGAAGACCCAATTAACACCTCCATTGAGACTCAAACTCACAACCTTCCAAATGAAAGTCCAACCCGGATACCATTATACCACATAGTCTTGGTAAATTATAATAAAATTGATTGGCAGGGAAATACTTAAATACAGTACCATTTTAAATTTAGGAAAATGATAATTAAATCATAATGAGTAAATGAATAAAAAGATTCCACTCATTTATGTATGTATGTATATAGTTCGAGCTTTGTTTCACCATAGTCATGACATTATCAGGCGTTGGAGTGAACAAATTGAAAATGTGATTTTCACCTTTAGCCTCCACCACCTTCGATTCCCCTTGCCAACCCTATTTAGCAAGGGTGGCGACCCGGTAACAAGCAAAACCCTAAGTTTCCCATTCATGGAATTAGGAAACTCAGGGTGTCTCTCGAACCATACCTTCCATTGTTCGTCCCATCCGGTGATTTGGGGGCCCAACGAGACCTTCTCGTTGGGGCTGAGGATCCCCCAACTGGTCCTCCGGATCGTTCGAGGTCCTTGTCAGACCGATCTCATCGAGGATCCTATTCGTCTCATCGATCAGGTACGAGTTTTCGAGGTCCGCGTCTGAGGAAGCATGGTTGCCAATGCCGATGGTGCCACAGAGGATGAGAATGGCGACGAAGTTGCAGAGGATGGTGATCTTGATGTTGTTGAAGGTCCACGAGATCTGGCGCCCGCGAGGGACTTAGGGGCTAGCTCGACTCCTGGAATCTCCATTCATGGCTGCTCCGATGTCTATAGCGGTGGTGGGAAGCACTCCTGGTCTGTGAGAGAAAGCTAGGTGCGAAACCCTTTCTCTCTCTCTCTCTCTCTCTCTCTCTCTCTCTCTCTCTACAATTTCTCGAGTTAGTGTAGAGTGTTATTGTGATGGTGGCACACTTTCATAGAGCCAATTTCCGGCGTGACCTCCCGTTTGGCTCAAGAAATTGCTGTTCTCGCAAGTATTTGTTTATTGTGGGTTTGTGCGTTTTTCTGGAGGTGTATGTTTTCCGGCGAATGGGCATCCTCCGACGAAAGTTTCACTCTGCGTAATTGTGGTGATTCCAGATTCCGGTTAGGTGTCATATAAGTGCCCTCCATTCACTCATTCGCTGCATTCTCTGTTCGTTGCAACTGCTTGAAGACAAGAAAAGACCAAAATGTCCTTGCTAAATCGGAGCTCTCACCGGTTGTTGATGGACTACGGCCAGAGGGACTAAATCGACTAAAAATAATTAATTTCGGAGACCAAATCGATGAATAAGCGATTGAGGGACTACATTGACAGTTCGCTAATAATTGAGGAACCAAATCATTGATTAACCCTTAATTTATCTATTTGATATGTTGGTTTTCAAAAAATTATGCCTACAAATTTCTTTCAAATTCAAAAGTAAACCTTACGTACTGCTATAGCATACTCATTTTTAACATCATTTTCTCTACTTCCTTCAAATTCCAAGCCATTTTAATTATATAATACTCCGTAAAAATATTAACATTTAAATTATTATAAAAGGAAAAAAAAAAAAGTAAAGAAAAAAATCCCTGTCAAATAATTAAAAGCTATCATTCTCTAATTCGTAATGCGTCAGTCTTTCAAAACTTAAAATGTTGGATGGTATTACATGAAAAAAAAAAACTGTCATAGTTACTATCACGCCAGATTTAACGCCAATTCTGGGCTTACTCTCATAATACAAAAATACAAGACCCTAATTTATCAAATGTCATCTTCAATTCTAGATGATAATTGACTGGCCGGTTGGCAAAATTAAAAGCCTTGACAACTTCGGTCTTGGTTTTCACTAGTTCGAAGTCCCCCATAGTAATGCTTTGGTTTTATTTGGGTATAGTATTTCAATATTTTGAATTCCATATTTGGTGTTATTATGAGACTTTGACATATGCACGCGCACACATAATGTAACTTGTATCATTACAAATTCATTTATTTTTGCCTGGAATTTTAGCATCCCCCTGGCGTTTTTCTCCATAGGTGTTGGTCCACTTTTGTTTTCTTCATCCTCTTAAACAAGCCCTTTAGACACGTCAAGAATACTATGTACAAAGAAATCGTCACAGAAATTAAAATGCCGTGGTCATTTGTCACACCTATGAAGTCTTTTTTTTTTCCAATTAAACACCCTTGCATTAATAGGCACCCAAGTTGGCATTGCATGCAGCTCCCGGGAGTTAAACTGCCAACTGCTATTTGGATAAATAAAAGAGTTAAATTTTGAAAAACAATTTCAGATGTTGGATAAAAGAAAATATCTTTTTTAACTATATTATATCTTGACACATTATGGAGTTTTTTGCACTTTTGTCCTACGATTATGGTGTCATTAACAATTTTGATCCATAATTTTTAAAACTTGTAGAATATGTCCACGACTATGACTTTCTTAGCAAATTTGGTCATTTCGGTGCATTTTTCGTTCAATTTTTACCAAAAAATTTTACTCCCCATTTTAACATGGGTAATATTGTCTTTTCCATCTCACAAACTAATGACATTAATAAATAAATAAATAAATAATGTTGTTAGTGACAACCTTTGTCTAACGGAAAATGGGGAGGATGATGAATTTGCCCATATTAACGAAAAATGTGAGATGGAAAAGACAATATTAATATTACTCATGTTAAAATGGAGAGTAAAATTTTCCGGCAAAAATTGAAAAGAAAATGTATTGGAAGGATCAAATTTACTAAGAAAGTCATAGTCGTTGACCAATTTTACAAGTTTTAAAAGTCGTGGATCAAAGTTGTTAGTGACACTATAGTCGTGGAACCAAATGTGCAAAAAACTCATACATTATGTGTCTGCAATTAACATAATATATGCCTTGTGAGTTAACATATTATGACTTTGTTTGGTAACATAGTTAGCTTATCAGTTAATTTTGGTTTGTCTGATCACTATTAGCTGTTTGACTTGATTAAACAGTCAATATAACTATATAAGTGTTTGGTTAATCAGATTTTTATTACAGCTTACTGTTCTAAAATGCTAAAATTCAAACAACTGCTCAAAACATTTTTTTGAGAAAATAAATTATACTCTTAAAAATCATTTTACATTTAATAAGCTAGCTAATTACCAAATATCTTTTTACAATCAGTTAATGTAATCCGCTAACCCACTGAAATTTTTCTTCCAATCCTATATAACAGTTCCGCAAGGTCCTTCTTAACAGTTCCAGAGTGTGCTGTTGGCATCTAATTTGTCACCTGGGCAATCCTTTCCAGAATTGCATACTTAGAACTCAGAAATTAAAAGGTAACCTTAAATGTTTCTTTCTGTGGCCAAGATTTAAGTACATTTGCAGCAAGTTTAGCAGCAACATATTCCAGTCAGGAATTAGACCTTCTTCCACTTCCATTTCTTCCATAAAAACTCGATCATTGGTTACACTTACAAGTGTTTTTTGAACCAAAAACACCTTCCCCACCAAAATTTTCAACCACTTTCTATCAATAAAATCACACAAATGACAAAAAATTTATTCCATGAGAATCCATATATAAGTATTATACACATTTTTATCTGGACTAAACGCATCTCACAGATAAAAATATTTAAGATACAGCATCATAGAACACTCACGTGCTCTTCATAAAATTAAAAGCCTAGCGGCCGGAGACATCTGAAATTGAAGCAGTGGCATGAGAAGTGGATGATGCTGTGGTGGCTGATGTGTCCGAAAGTACCTGTACCCTATTCCCCAAATCAGAAATAACGGTAGGCCTGTTTGGTTGGTTTTGAAAGATTGAACGATCACTTGAAGAAAGCATAATCACTAGTTCCGACATGCTTGGCCTCAGACTGGGGGGTGATTGGGTGCACACCAATGCAATCTCCAATATTCTCTTCACTTCTTCTGTTGTATAGTCATTGGGGTCTAAAGTGCTATCTACCAGTCGTAGATGTTCCTCGTTCTCGTACAGTTTCCATGCCTATATAAAATCATGCACAAGTCAAATGTTGAAAAAATCAATCAGGATAATTTTGTGTTATGTTTTAACTAAAAGTATAAATTAATAGTGAGAGAATAGAAAAGACAAGAAATTACTTGTTCAAGGAGATACTCGGTGACAGGCTCGACTCGTATGTCACTACTCCTTCTACCACTAATGATCTCCAGGATGACGATGCCAAAACTGTAGATGTCAACTTTCTCTGATAAATGGCCATGAATTGCATATTCTGGTGCTGTATATCCCCTAGTGCAACATGAGTATGTAGGTCTCGTTTAGTGGTTAAAAGTATTAATTTCTCTTGATAAGAAAATGTGGAAAAGAATAAGGCCGGCTTACAAAGTTCCTGCAAATTTAGTGCTAACATGACTCTGATTTTGAGGTAAAAGCCTTGCCAGACCAAAATCAGCAATTTTGGGCTGAAAGTCATCATCAAGTAGTATATTGCTGGATTTGATGTCTCTGTGTATAATGCATACATGAAACTGTTGATGCAGATAGACAAGACCCATAGCTGTACCCAATATTATATCAACGCGTTGCTTCCAATTCAACATCCCTCGTTTATCTCCTGCCAATCAAATCATAAAAATGGGAATAGTTCATACATCCCATGCAACTCAAAAGTAACCATATCAGATCATCAAAACAATATCAATGTAGGTTTTAGCGGGGCATGCACCATATATATATCTGTCAAGACTGGCATTTGCCATGTATTCATAAACCAGTAGCAGCTCTTCTCCTTTGGCAGAACATCCCAATAGGCGAATGAGATTGCGATGATGAACATTTGTGATAAGCCTAACTTCAGTCTCGAAGTCTGCCTTTGCTCTACTGGAAATCACCAGTTTCTTCACCGCAACCACATCCCCGTTCTTTAGTGTGCCCTGAATGTTTGTGCTTTGATTATTAATTATTTCTGAAATTCCTGACAAATTGTAAGATAAACAAGAAAGTAATTGAAAGTGTTATTTGCTAACCTTGTATACATCACCAAAACCTCCTTGTCCGAGTTTATTTTCTTGGCTGAAGCCTTTTGTTGCGGCTTTCAAATCTTTATATCTGTAGTTCTCTGGACCTTTCAACTGAGTTGCCCCCAGAATATTGCCTAAACAATTTTAACAAAACAGTATAGTAGGTGAAAGTTGTATCAATAAGCTGATTGGATATGATAATGATAGCTTCAATTCGATCACCTCTTCTTGCTGCATTTGGCTTTTTTGATCTTCGATAAATGAAAATGGCTGCTAATACCAATATGATTATTCCTACACCACCTACTACACCTCCAATAATAGCTTTCTTTTTTCCTGAACTCCCTGGAGAAGATGGATATGATGTTACCAGTTAAAAACGAGTGCTGCTTAAGAAACATTAAGAGATCTGAACAGATTTAATTTTATACCTGTTTCTAGGAAGGCTGCTAGGTTAGTTGTCTGGTTATTCGGGAAAAAGCGTTTGTTTGAGTATCTCATGAAGCAAGCTGGGGCAATAGCTCTTGCAGATGCAGATTTTGATAAACAACCCAGTATGTTTCTGTAAGTTATTGTCAAACATGCCTGACACCCAGTTTCGTCGATTGTTTCAATACATTGTGCCACCGCAAAGGCGGCACCACCACTACCACCACCACCAGAGGCCTCCTGCTTTGCTGCGGCGAAAAAGCCATTAATTCTGGGGGTTGCAAGTTGAAGCTCGTATAGCAGTTGTTTTGCTGTCGTATTGAAAACATCTTGTTTGGGGTCAGTTCGTTTGCCACAAGTTGGATAGGTTCCTGCATCTGTAATCTGCTCGTAGAAGTAACTGTCCTCGTACCTATACAAAACAAACTATTGAATATGTCATATGTACCAAATGACAGTACATGATACTTTTGTACAGTTACCTATAAATACGTTGATTATATACAATATCTCTCATTGAGTTAGACACTTTACCATTGTTATTATTTCTTGTTCTCAATAATCTAACACAAATGCGGTAAGATGAATGCTGAAAATATTATTATATGAGTAAATTATCAAATTGGTCTTGACGTACTATATCATTTGTTACTTTGTGTCTTTATCTGGTCCTCTTACATAAAGAATGAGGGCTCTACCACTATGTTGCACATTAATCTTATTACAAGATAGTTAAATATTTTTAATAATGACTATTTGTCTACATGTGGGCACCAAGCTCTCCACCAGAATATAAAAAGTTGTGCACTAGTCAAAGCAAAATAAAATAAAAGAGCAAATTACACTTTTGGTCCTGTGACTATTAGGGGTGTGTTAATTTGGGTACGTGACTTTTAAAATTAACAATTTAGTCCTTTAACTATCATTTTTTTAGCAGATTTGGTCCTCCTGGCCAAATTGCCGGTGGAATTTGGCCGGAAAGACATTCGAATTTTTAAATCAAATATTAGTGGGGGTAATTCGGTCTTTTTAATTGTAAAAAAATAGCGTTTTATTTAAAAATTCGAACGTCTTTCCGGCCAAATTCCACCGGCAATTTGGCCTGGAGGACCAAATCTGCTAAAAAAATGATAGTTAAAGGACTAAATTGTTAGTTTTAAAAGTCACGTACTCAAATTAACACACCCCCAATAGTCACAGGACCAAAAGTGTAATTTGCTCTAAAATAAAATAAAAATCATGAACTTTTACACACTTTATGAGTCAAAAATGCCCGTTTGATAGAGTGTTGAGAACATAACATCTTAAATAGTAAGTCAAATATTCATTCATCACATAACATCTTAAATAGCACCATAATGTACTAATTTTAAACAACCCACCAAATTTTTGATTATCTAAAAACATATATACCCAAACTGTAATACACAATAATAAAAAATAATTCATAAATTCAATGAGTAATTGATGCTTTCTTGGGTTCAGACGAAAAACTCTTATTACAAATTTTTAACTATTTTGTAACAAGATTAATGTGTAGCTTGGAGGTGGAGAGCTCATTCTTTAGGCAAAAGGTCTTGCGTTTGAATCCTTAGTCTATTTTGACCGAAAATCATATTGTAATGCCACGTCACAAAATTTGACATGGCAAATCCAATGCCACGTGGGCAAACTTAACTGAGAAAATAAACGGTGTTAAGTATTGTCCTTAATTGTTCTAAATTTTAAAGTACAGGGATTAAAATGAGTAAAATTAAGGTACAAGAACTGAATTGAACAAAACACTATAATACAGGGACCTAGCAGGTACTTTATCCGTTAATTTCAAGTGTATAATTTTAAGATTAATATAGTTTGTTGAATTTCATCTTAATATTAAATTACATTTTTACCCCATAGTAAATAATTTTACTTTTTCCCGGTAAATTTTACCATGGATCAGAAACTTCAGTCAATAGATTTCATGCCTATAAATAAATTGCATACACATAATTTATTGACGGCAGATACATAATTTATTATTGTGTTGCTATAATAAATCTATTGTATATATAAAATGAAACTAAATAACAGAGTTCATACAAATATGTATAGAGATAATTTCAATTTTGGTCACATGACTATAGGAGCTTTGTTAATTTCAGCACCTGACTTTTAAAAGTGTCAATTTAGTACCTTGACTATGTAATTTTTGTCAATTTTGGTCATTCAGGCCAAATTGACGGTCAAATTTTGCCAAAAAAATTTAACCCAACACGTAATCTATAATCTGAGGGGCAAAATGATCTTTTGATCATATTATAAACTAAATGTTAGATTAAGATTTTCCGGTCAAATTTGGCCGAAGTGACCAAAATTGATAAAATTTACATAGTCAAGGTACTAAATTGATACTTTTGAAAGTCATGTGCTGAAATTAACAAAGCCCTTATAGTCATGTGACCAAAATTGAAATTTTCTCAATATGTATATTATCAAATGAACTTGTAGTATAATTAAAAATGATATTTTATTATTACTATATAAAGTGAACCTATTTGTATGTATATATAAAATGATACTGAATATATAGCAGAGTTCATACAGATTGTATATTATCAAATGAAAGTATAATGGAATTAAATGATACTTTACTGTTGCTATAATGAGCCAATTGTGCGTATAAAATGAAACTGGATAGCATATACATAAAGTTTAATTAAAATGATACTTCAATGTTACTATGACGAAACTAGTATGTGTGAAAAATGGAACTAAAAAACATAACTTATACAATAGTAATGAATTACAAAAGCGGTTCAAAACAATATCCAAATTATGTGTCTGCAGTTAACATATTACGTGTCTTCAATTAATAGATTTTGTGCCTATAAATAAATTGCAGGCACATAATTTATTAATTGTAGATACATAATTTATTAATTACAAATACAGTTAATAAATTATGTGCCTTCAGTTAATAAATTATGTGTTTGCTTGCAGTTAATATATATGTGCATAGAATTTATTTATAGGCAGAAAAATTGTTAACAAGGGCACACAATATATTAATTGTAGGCACATAGCCTTGAAATTATTTTGGACTAAGATTCACAGTTCAAGATAAACTCGGGTTCATAGTGTAATTTGCCAGGCAAAACTAGAAGTATTTACTAGGGGATAAAAATATAATTCAATATTAGGATAAAATTCAACGAGCTATATTAATCTTGAAATTAACATATTAGGCTAACCCCATCCCAGCCAATACCCTCCTTTCTAAATGAGTAAAAATTTGCTACTGACTCTATTACATTGTAGTATCTGTTCAAACATACTTTCTCAACCTAATGAAGCACAAAGAGTCAATAACTTCTCTATTGTGGCATGATCTCATGACCTCTCATATGGGAGAGGTTACTACATGTCATTTAAGGACAAGGTGCTTGACTATTATTTTGTTATTATTATATTTATAATTTATAATTTATAATAATATAATATAATATGAAAGTGGGACCACTTTAGAAAGTGAGAGAATATTGTAAGGATGGAGAACAAATAGTAGAAAATTTGTAAATGTGATGATGTGGAAGTGGGGCCCATTTTAGAAAGTGAGAGAAATTTGCTGAGAGAATGATAATCTTATAGTTAGAGGACCAAATTGAGAAGAATAGGTGGAAAGTAATTGAAATGACGAATTTGCCCTTAATTTTAAGGCCCAAATGATCGAAATCTTAACGAATGACAAATTTGAGTAAAAATTTCATAGTCGGAGGATCAAATTAAGTAGGAAAAAAAAAAAAAAAAAAACGAAGATACAAATTAACCAGTGGCTATAATTAAGGGACCCATTTGAGAATTTACACTCCTCATATTATATTTACACTTTACTAGAACTCACCTAAGGAAGCAGCCATCAAAAATGATACGACCACCGGTTTTGTTGGAGCAGTTTCGGGTTGCAACCACGGCGGCGTCGAGACAGGCGACACAGTCCGCCGTGGAGAGGTAGTTTCGGCACTGCGCCATTGCGTACACAGGCTGCTGAGTGGAGGTGGCAAAGCGTTTGTTGTCGCTGGATAACTGGTTTCTCAGATCAGCAAAGGTGGCGTTCAGTACCCTCATAGAATCTGCTACGTCGGTATAATTGAAGGGACTGCAACCCAGCACGCCTACTTGGTTGGTTTGTGGGTTTGAGAGCGCAGGTTCTGATACTGATACCACCATGATCACCACCGCCAACCACCGCCACCTGCCGCCTGAGCCTTCCACCATATTCGACCAGTGTAGGCTCAGCTCATGGAGGAGAAATACACAAAATTTAATGGCTTATAAAGAAATAGAGGGTAAACACACACACATATATATAGGAATACAATTGGAGGATGTATTAGGATCAACACTGATATTCCATGCTGAGTTGAGTCGTTGCTAGTCAACAATTTCCATTATTATATTTATTATTGTATATTTTTATTATAACCCATAGGAGTTAGGACCAGATAAATCAGGTATAATGAAAAAACAAACGATATTTCTCGTTAAATAAAAGAAAATTATAATAAAATTGATTGGGAAGGAAATACGGTACCATTTTAACTTTAGGAAAATGATAATAATTAAATTATAATGAGTAAATGAATTAAAAGATTCCACTCATTTTTTTCTAAATTAATAAGGGAGAATAAAAAAATGACATTAAAAATGATAGTATATATAATATTGCTTTATTTATTTATTTATTTATAGTATTACTTTTAACCCCCCCTCCCCCCCCCCCACACACACACACACACACACATATATATATGGGTTGCCGTGCAATTGGCACTCTCAGGTGCGGTTGTGCGATTGTTAAGGTGTGAGGTTTGTATACTTAAGGTGCGTGGGTTTCTTCTTAAGTTGCATGATTTGTATGCTTAAGGTGCGTGAGTTATTGAAACTTTAAGGTGCACCAGTTTCAAACCTTAAATGCGTGGTTTGTGTACTTAAAGTGCGTCGACCTAAAGCTTTAGGTGCGCATAATTTGTGTGCTTAAAGTGCATTACTTGTGTGCTTAAGATTCGTGATTTGCGTACTTAAGGTGCGTCATTTTAATGGTTACCGCCTATTTTTATCTCTACACATTTCTTTCAAATTCAACAGCAAACCTTATGTACTGCCATATCATTGCATTTTTAATTTAACATCATTTCCTCTTCTTCCTTCAAATTCTAACCCAATTTATTTTTATAATAATAATAATAATAATAATAATAATAATAATAATAATAATTATTATTATTATTATTATTATTATTATTATATAATAATATTCATTTAAATTACTATAAAAGAAAAAAAAAAGTACAAAAAATCCCTGTCGAATTAAAGGCTATCATTCTCTAATTCATAATATAAAGTCTTTCAAAACTTAAAAAGTTGGGGTGATATTGGCTCTTTGTGATTTAGTAGGTTGAGAAAGTAATTATGAACAGATATTGTATTGTAATATAGTCAATAGTACTAAAAAAAAAAGTTGGTATTACATGAAAATTAAAAAAATTAAAAAAAAAAATTGCCATAGATGAGTCTAACGCCGGATTGAACTCCAATTCTGGGCTTACTCTCATAATACAAAAATGCAAGAACAATTCATCAAATGTCATCTTCAATTCTAGATGATAATTGACTGGATGACAAAATTAAAAGCCTTGACAACTTGGGTCTTGGTTTTCACTGGTTCCAAGTTCCCCATTCTAATGGTTTGGAATTATATTTGGTATTTCAATATTTTGACTTCCATACTTGGTGTTATTATGAGACTTGTGTGTGTGAGAAAACCATCTCCCACATGATTGAGAAGTGTGGACAAATTAAATTTGGATTGTCCATCTTGGATATGTGTATGCATGATTGTGATTTTTTATTTTTCATATTTATTTACATAGGGTTGTTTTGGTAATTTGAAGGCTGGAATATAATGATTATTTGTGGATACTAACTCTCTCAAATGGGAGGTCATGGATTTGAGCCCCAGTAGGGGCGATATTGACTCTTTGTACTTCAATAGGTTGAGAAAATAGCTATGAACATATACTATATTGTAACAGAGTCAGTAGTACTAAAAAATTTATGATAAATTCGGATTTTCTTGTTGATGTATTCTCTTTCTTCATGTGGGGTTTTTTCTTCATCTTGCTTTGAGTTTTTCTTCTTCTTATGCATTTTTTTTTCCCTAGCTATGAGCTCAAATTGATTTTTATGTTTTTAATTATCTTTTGTTTGAGTATAATATTGACTATAATTCTATATTTGTGATTGACCTATGTTTAGTTTTCGCAAGTAATGGTGGTTGCACTATGTCATTCGATCCGTAAGTGTGCATTTGCACTATTAGTTACTGGTAGTTGTGTTACATTGTCATGGCCTAGTGTGCACTTTGTATTCATCTTATGTGTAGGTGTGTGCATTGTATACTTGGCGTGTGCGCACTATTGTACATATGTTTGTGCATTTACTTGTGGTGCGGTTTGGATCAAATGACGTGTTTGTGCACTAGTCAAGTATGTGAATCAACTGGAGATTTTTTTTATCACTTATTTTTCTTGCTTGCTGTGATGGTACATGATGTGTATGTGTGTGTGTGTGTATATATATATATATATATATATATATATATATATATATATATATATATATATAAAAGATTATGAGATCTCATCTCAGCCATCTATACAATTGGAATTAATGGATGGAATTGAGATTAAAATACAAATTATATTAGGAAAAAATTAATACAAAAGGGTAGAATTGTAATTTAGTTATGTTGTTTGAATTTGATTAGAAATGAAATAGAATCTTTTACCTATTTTAAGTAATTCTATCTATGCCAACCTTTTCTATGAGTGTTTTTTTGTTACCTGAGACAGTTTGCACATCAATTGAGAGGACCATGAACAAATATTGGTGGGGTTCTGGAACAGATAGGAAGATACATTGGAAAGCTTGGGATAAATTATGCGTCCCTAAAAAGTATGGGGGACTGGGATTTAAAGATCTACGGGCTTTTAATTTGGCAATGCTGGGTAAACAGGCATGGCGATTTCTCACAAACCCCGACACTTTGGTGGCAAGAATATATAAAGCCAGGTATTATCCGAATACATCTTTTGTTGATGCTACCATAGGGAATTGCCCAAGTTTTTGCTGGAGAAGTATAATGGCTGCACACGGAATGGTTTGTTCGGGGGTAAGGAGGCGTGTAGGGAATGGACAAAAAACATTGATATGGGGGCATCCCTGGTTACCAGATAATCCCAGTCCGTTGATCCAAACAATAATGCCCCAGGAATTACGACATGCCCATGTAGCAGGTTTGATTGACCAACAGACTAATACCTGGGATCCGCATATTCTGACTGACTTATTTATTCCTGAGGATGTCACACGTATTTTAATGATCCCTGTTAGCCCGGAATATGAAGACACATGGTATTGGAAGGGTGAGATGAATGGAATATATTCAGTTAAAAATTCCTATAGACAGATTAAGGGGGATTATGAGCATAGCCCAGGTGATTTTGATAAATGGGTTACTATGTGGAAATTGAAAGTGCCACCCAAATGGAAAACCTTCTTGTGGAGAGCAGTCTGTGGAATCCTTCCTACTACAGACAATCTAATAATGCGACGAGTTGAGATTGACCCGTTTTGCCCAATGTGCCAAGGGGCGCAAGAAAACGTCATGCATGCATTACTCTTGTGTGATTATTCTAAATTAGTATGGTGTTTGTCGGGGTTGCCTGTAACCAATATACTTACTAATTCATTGTCGACATGGCTTATGGGAATTTTTACTGTCTTGACAGAGGAACAGTGTGGCCTAGCAGTGGCTATATTATATGCTATTTGGAGTGCCCGCAATACGGCGGTATGGGAGCAGGCTCTCCCAAGACCGAGTCGCACTTGGAACCGAGCGGTGGCGGCCATGCAAGCATATCGACGAGTGCAACCCTCGGTGGCTGCACCGGCACCTACTGCCGTGACCGATCAGGCTGGCGGTAATGTTCCGCGCTGGTACGTCGATGCGGGGTTCAGGCCAGGTACTGGGGAGGCGTCTTACGGTGTGGTTCTCATCTCGCACCATGGCTCGTTTATTGCGGCAGCAAATGGACGGCTGGCTGTGGCATTCTCGGCTACTATGGCCGAAGCACTGGCCTGTAAGGAGGTGCTTTCTTGGCTTAAGGATCGGGGTATCGTGGAAGTGGACATTTTGACAGATTGCATGGACTTACAAAATACTATGCGCTCAAGCCACGCGGCTAACTACTCCTACCTTGGGATCATTGTGGACCAGTGTAGGACAGCTATATCGTTATTTACGAGATGTTCTTTAAGTTACATTTCTAGAAATTTAAATTTACATGCTCATACTTTAGCTTCTCTAGCTTTCGATCAGGACCAAGCTATGTATTGGGACTCTGTCCCTCCTGACTCTATCATTCAGTTTATTCATTAATATACCGCATGGAAAATTTTCAAAAAAAAAAAGTAATTCTATCTATGGTAAAAAATAATTCTAGAAATAGAATCATTTACCTATTTTAAGAAATATTTGTTCTATATGTCTATAAATCGAACCTTAGTGTTCATAAACGCAAAACTAAATATACATTATATGCATTTTAATTCATCTATAGTATGTTCATAATATTCATTCAATATATTCATAAAAATAAAGCTTAATGTACATAGACAGTATATTATGAACGCATCATGTTTAATAATATTCATTGTGTTATACTCATAATATTTGTTCTATATGTCCACAAACATAAACATTAATGTTTATAAACACTAAATTAAATATACATCATATGTATTTACATTCACTCTATAGTAGGTCATTCAAAAGATCTTAATTAGATTTTTTAATGATATATTTTTTATACATTAGTTTTATTTTTACAAAAAGATAAGAGAAAAATAAACTCAAGTTGAAATTAATATAAAATTTCCATATGAAAGGAAAATATAATTATTCCTATCTCTATCTCTATCTATCAAAAAAATAAAAGGAAAATAAAATTACCATATGAAAGGAAAATCTCTATCTCTATCTATAAAAAAAAAAAAAAATTGCGTTCACACTGGGCAAAAAAATGCTAAGCTGTGATTGGCCAAAGCTCGATCTATGACTTTATTATATAATATTTAAGGATTATTATTATTATTATTATTATTATTATTATTATTATTATTATTATTATTATTATTATTATTATTATTGTCATTTTATTTTATTATTACATTATTACATAGGATGATAGGATTTTTATTATAGTTGAACAATAATATTATC